TTTCTGGAGTTTCAGGGGGGGTCCCGTTTGTGGCCTATGGAGCACCAAGAATTCATCCTTCTAGGTGGCATTTTGAAAGTGCTTTAAAACTCCATTGGTAAATTGTGCAGCCAAATGAATTTGACCATGGACTCTACTATAGTGGAGCTTTTACTTCATAAATGTAACTTTGTTCCCCAGCCATAATACGATGCTTTACGACTAGCACTACCTATAATTTCAAAAAAAACTTGCACAATGACTGTAATTGACTGAGTTTTTACTTTTGCAACACCTCAACTAATCTTCCCTTAGCAGAAAGTTCACGAAAGTTCAAATCTTCACACAAGAGTATTGGAAAACCTTCAAACTTTTTTGAAACATGTGTCCTAAACCCTTTTCATAGGAAAAAATTAAGGAAAATTTTTTTTTGACGGGAAGTTGAGAGGACCGCTCTTAGCGAGGGTGTCACTAAAAAAGCCATACGCTAAATTTATGCACGTGTATGAGCCCTTTCTGATATTTTTAATTACCTGTACTTGTAGCTTTGGTATCACCCGATCTTCCTCTCGCCCCGGACTCACCTGAACCCTTGCACTTGTGTTTTAACCAAGTAGTCATTTCATTATCGCAAGACAACAAAGGAGTCATTCCTGTTTCGTGCAGAGCCCATTTACCCCTCCTMAGGAACAAAGCGACATCATAAAATTATCCTGAAAACATTTACACTTGAATAGGGGGAGGAATGGAAACTCGGTCCAGTCCTAACACTCTCACGTCCAAAATGGCGGGCCCAATATTGGCATCATTTCATGTCTCGTGTGGAATATTTGATTTAAACAGCAACAATAATTTTTTGTCATCCAGCTCTTTACTGTGGATTCCCTCTTTGTTGGATGGTTACATTTATTCAGTTCTCAAGTGCCTAAGATCTCTGGTGGATCACAAGTCACCTGGACGATGCTTACTGCGGTACGTAAGCTTATGGTCATGCTTGCAAGTGAATTTGATAAATGGGTCACTAAGGTACACACTGGATTTGGTATGAAAGTTATGCAAGAAGGCAGGTGAATGTTTCGGTTTTTTTAAAAATGGCAATTTTGAGGAGTAATTTTGACCTCAAATTTGACCTAACTTTAACCCCAGGCCCCTCTCTGTCTAATCGCTGGAGAACAAAGTTACATTTATGAAGTAAAAGCTCCACTATCGTAGAGTCCATGGTCAAATTAATTTGGCTGCAGAATTTACCAATGGAGTTTTATAGCACTTTCAAAATGCCACCCAGAAGGATGAATTCTTCCTGCTCAATAGTCCACTAATGGGACCCCCCTGAAACTCGAGAACAAACAGTTAGAGAATTGAGCCAAAGTGGCTTTTCTTATCACACTCAACTTTTGTGCCGAGTTTTAGCCAAATCGGTTGACCACCACTTTTGGCTCCTGGAACACTTTCTCAGACAGGGGCACTTAGAGAGGGAGATTATCACTGCAGATACAGTAAGGGACGGACCATTATTTTTCTGGAGGGGTGTATGAGAAATATTGAAAAAAACTGTTTGGAGGATCTGAAAAGACAAAATAAATTATTTGCAAGCGTGATAGGGTAAAAAACAATGTTTGCAGAGAAGCCAGGTAAGATATTAAAAATATTATCAAAAAACTGAAATAAAGCAAATAAAGTTACTGTAACATTGAAACGTTAGTATAAAAATTAACACAATTTGGGCACTAAAAGGTGGTCACTCTGTATGAAGCAGATAACAAATTTGAAAATAGCTGAATACTTCTTGAAAAAATGGGAATTTGTTGTGGCAATCAAATCTCAACGTTACTTGACGACGTATTAATTACGTTCTTCGTAGAAGTGTTTAATAAGGCAATGGTAATATTTAGCACAAATGAAAAGAACACTGAAACAAAATGGAATAAAGACAGTTTGCACGAGGATGATTTTGGAAAAAAAACTGTTTGCAGAGACGTATATGTTTAAAAAATATGTTCGCAGAGGAAAATTTGTCATTCCCTCCTCCAGAAAAATAGTGGTCCGTCCCTAAAATAGTAACAAGTAGGAAACAAGGCTTTCACAAACACCGAGGAAAATAACACATGCTTCTTACCTTGATCACTAACCAGATAAATTTGACTTCAACCTTTCTAGTGCCGCATGGTTTCTTGTTGGATATCGCACATCTTTTTGATATGGCGACGTACAATTGTCACCTGTCATGATTGGTTTGTACCATCTTTCTGTGGGACTTCCCGTGTTTGCAGGCGCACCGCTTCAAAACTCCAAGTGTTTGTATTATCAA